CCCAGCCCCTGGGAACCCAGAAAACAGGGCATAGGAGGAAGTGCTTTTCTACCTTCCCTGCCACTTCATAGCCCCAAATTAACATAAGCCAACCTCCAGGCAGCACCTGGAGATCTCCAGCTATTAAAAGGTAAAGGTAAAGGTTCCCTTGCTCAAAAGCCAGTCGAATCCGACTCTAGGGTTGTGGTGCTCATCTCCGTTTCAAAGCCGAAGAGCCAGCACTGTCCGAAGACATTTCCGTGGTCATGTGGCCAGCATGACTAAACACCAAGCAGCACGGAACGCTGTTACCTTGCCTCTGGCCCTCCCCTTAGTATTGCCAGCCTCCAGGCAGCACCTGGAGATCTCCAGCTATTAAAACTGATGTCCAGATAACCAAGATCAGTTCTCCTGGAGACAATGGCTGCTTTGGGCAGTGGATTCTATGGCATATACCTTGCTGAGGTCCCTCCCCACCCCAAACCCTCCCCTCCCCAGGCTCTACCCCTCAAATCTACAGGTATTTCCCAACCCAGAGTTGGTAACCCTGTAACTGGCTATGGAACTGCTTTCCAGACCCTTGGAACCCAGAAGACATGGGATAGGAGGAGGTGCTTTTCTACCTTAGCTGTCACTGCATAGCCCCAAATTAATGTAAGTCAGGGGTTGAGGGAACCATACCTGTTACCATGAGGCTGTCCTCCCATACTACCCACTTGGGGCAGCAAAATGACTTGAGACAGCCCTGCCTTATAGCTAAGCAGAAGGAAATAAACATGGATTGCCTCCCTCTATTTTCCCCTTCCCTCTGCTGCCCCACCAGCCACAGCCGGAACACTCACCCGGAGCTTCCTTCTAGAGCTCGTTGTATTTCTTCCCACAACGAGCCTTACTCCTAGTTAAAGATCATAAAAACCGTTGACTTACTGTCCTAAACTGCCAGATACAGTGAACTATAAGAAATAAGTTTGCTAGTAGCAAAAGTTTGCTAGAAAGCTAAAGCCCAAGAACTGGCTCTAATCTCTCTTCCATATTGATCTCGGCCCTCATTAACTCTTCAGACCTCCCCTATCACAATGCTACACTAACAGAAGCCAACAATGGTAGGCAGAACTCCCATGCAATTTTTAGAGATCGAACAGCCCTTACCAAGCAGGTCAATCAAACCCTCTGGATTCCCCAGTTCCTAGCTCTCCAAATCTCCCTTATCTTTCCATCTTATCCCTATAATCAGTGTGATTTTGACTCAGCCCTACTTTTCATTGTCTTTTTGTACCCACCATTGTTTCCTTGAGTTTCCATTTTTTTCAACCCACTACTTTGTCACACTCCCTTCAGTCCTCCTGATCTAAAAGCCATTTCTTCAAAGCCATCTTGCCCCCTTTTTTGGTCACCTTCCCTTTCCTTCATTAGTCATCTTATCTCTGGGATCAGTGTCTCTTATTTCTCTACTTCCTGGGAACCTCTTAGATCCTCAGCTGCCCTGTTTCTAGGGTTGTGCAGAACTACCTACTCCAATATGTAGGATTTTAAACTGACAGGTCTCTCATTCCCAACCTTTTGTTTCCTCAGTAGATGGAATGCTCATGAAGATTCCATGACCTCACACCAATCCCAGCTAGCATCAGAAGCTTCACTGCAACACGCACAATGCAATACAGATTGTCATCCTATGCTGTGCTTGTTTTCCACAAACTGAACAAATTAAGTAATTACTGGTCCAACAGCTGAGTTGTTCTTATGCTTCACTTGTGGCCTAGGCACTGACCCACGCCAGCAACACTTTTTTCCAGCTTCCCTGGTACTTCTTCACACCCCAAACTGTTAAGATATGCAAAAGCTTTATCCCTCACCAGAAACACTATGCAAATATTTAAAGCAGATTCAAATCACCATTTTTCACATGATGAAACCACCACTCAATGCATTTCTAACCCCCACATGCAACTCAAAGAGGATTCTTGTGTGATGTTCAGCCTTGTGAATATTCCTTCAAGAATCTCACCATGCCTTAACCAACCTTTGGACAAGCCACTCATGTCAGGCTGATGCTCTAGCATTAAGACTCTTAAGTATAGATGTAAAAACTTCCAGAGATTTTGAAGCCACAGAAAAAAGATTTTCATGGAAATCTTAAGGAACACTAGGAATAAGGCCCGTTGTGGAAATAAATACAATGAGATCTAGAAAGAGGCTCTGGGAGAGTGCTCTTGCTTTGGGCAAACAGTGTCAATTTGCTGTGGCGACCTCAGCAGGGTATAATGACAGAGTCCACTGTTTTCTCCAGAGGAACTGATCTCTGCTACCTGAAGAGCAGTTGTAATTTTGAGTGATCTCTAGCCCTCACCTGGAGAATTGGCAACAATTGTTACCCAGGACAAAATGGCTAGTCTGGAGGGTGGAGTCTATGGCATTCTACCTGTCTGAGGTCCCACCCCTCCGCAAACCCCACCCCACCCTCAAATCCCCAGGAATTTGCCAGCCTGGAGTTGGCAACCCCATCTCCTTCGCAGCTAACCATCAACCTACCATTATCTGCCCCTTTGACTTCAGCTGACTTCTGCCCTCCCTTCTGCAGAGCAGTTGTAATACTGAGTGCTCTCCAGCCCTCACCTGGAGATTGGCAAAAATGGTTCCTTGAGGCCCCACCCCTCCTCAAACCTCACCCTCTTCAGGCTCCATCCCTCAAATCTCCAGGAATTTCCCATCTGGAGTTGGCAACCCTATCAGGACTGGCCCCAATGTGTTTTCTCCCAAAGCCCAAAATAGGTGACAGGAGCCAGCTTAGTTGTCTACCAACAGGCACTTAGGGGAAAGTAGGGTTGCCAGCTCTACGGAGGGAAATACCTGGAGATTTGGGGGGTGGACCTTG